GTTTGAAGTTGTTTTGTTATTTGCAGTTGTTGTTTGTTTAAGTGAGATATTTTTGGGAGTGGTGCTGAAAAAGTGCAAATGCTCAGAAAAAGCTACTGAATAAAAATAATTCAGACACTAAGAGTGCTATTTTGAAACTTAAATATCAAGTAAATATGTTTGTGTGCATAGGTTCATCCAGTTGAAGTATAGTACACCAATACAATGAGTACACCTCCTGTTTCCCATTTCTGTATTGGGGCATGGAGAATGATGTTTTTTCTCTACATATGTTAACATTTGTATTGGATTAAAACAGGTTAAGTGCTGGTCTCTAGTAGGTGTAGTTCAAAAAGTAGGTGTAGTTCAAAAAGACAGTGCTACAAATATGACAAAAAATATTTTCATTATTCGGTAATAAATTATCTTAATTCTCTAAATTGGTTAAACAAAAACTAATATTCTGATTGCTTCTTAACCTTACCTTGTGACTGATATTTTCAACTTTCTTCAGAGACTCCATTACATCCTGAGGACCATTACCAAAAATATATAGTTAAATATTGAGTGAGCTTAGCTTAAAGTTAAGTCTTCCTCATTATTCACCCCAGCTCTGGTCAGACAGAATAAAGAGTAAAATCATCATTTAATGTCATCTACAAATGGATGACCTTGAATATAGATTTATTCTTTACAGACTTGGACTTTAGAATCAGAATAAGTTTTATAGCCAAAGTGTACAAAATTCACAAACTACATACACAAACTTGCTTTGGTGTTTATAATAATGTTATAATACAGAGAAGAAGACTACTTTGTGAATCTGTGAGCTACCTTCATTCTCCTATGCCAACTTCAGACCTTTTCAATAAATCAACCACTATAATATTTTATAGCAATACCAAATTATTTAGTATGAAACTACTATCAAATCAGATACTGTCAACACAGTGCACTACTCTGTAGTGAGCCGAAACACACGTCGCCCTCTGCTCCTACTTGAAAGCAGACATATTGGCCAACTGATCTCTATCTGTAGTGAATCCTGATGAAGCATAGTCTACATTATGATCATGACAGTGTCCGCAATGACACAGTCATAGAATACTGTCAGAGTGCCCCCATCTCTCAGTGTGTTTCTCAGTGAAAGCCCAGTGGAGGGACAAAGATATCTTGAAAGGGCTGCTCTGATCTATGCGTCTGGCAACAGAAAAAAGCCAGCTGAGTCGGACTTTGCAAAAGGAAACAGCATTTGTACACAGTGTTATTGCATAGCAACATGTGCAGGAGACTCCAGGGCTTCAGGCCTAAACTTTAGAACAACAACAACATCCTGTCCCAGCTATGAGAGTCACTGAAACAGACATGAGAATGGTGTCCACTGGTTTAGTAGTTTTATCTGTTGAACTGACAATGTGTCCTTAGGTAAACACCTCAGTCTCATGCATGTAGTACATTAGCCTGGCTGTGGCTGATTGACTGTTGGTGCAGAATGGCAGTCACATCTCCACCACTCTGCCCTGGGGCAGCTGGGGAATCAGGAGTTATTTAACACCAGGTTGGACTGAAAAGTGCATGATGAATGTAATTGAAAAGCACTTTGAGAAGCTTGTGAAGTATGAGGTACGTTACAAATCTGAGTTATGACTTATGTGTTCATTTGGAAAGTAATCTGGATGGCTATAAGCCTATTCATATTTCTTTTACTGTATGCACTAAATACCCGTGGAGTATAATTTATCAGTTTTATAGTTTTATATTATTGATTTTTAAAATGGCTTGACTGCCATGTAATTCCAACTGTGCTATTTTCTTGTTTTCTTAGTTTTCCAGGAGAGTCAATTTAGCTATCAGATAAGACTGCTGAATTTTGTTATTCTAATTAAGAATAGGGAGTAGATTAGACCAAAAACCAAAGAGGGTCCTACTGAGGCATACTTGTCATCTCAGTGGCTTAACAGAACATCATCTTGACATGCAAACCACGCACTGGAGCTGGCTCCAGTTTCCTGCAGCTCACAGCTTGACTAAACAGGTAGAGGTTGGTATTACAAGAACTGTGATTAATGACTGTCTAATGAGTAAATACATCACAGAATCTCTCGAAGACATTAAGACATTAAACAACTTAATTGTGGTAGTTATTAATCACATGTCCAGCAAATAAGTTCAGTTTAGGTAGAAATTTAAATACAAATTATATATTTTATTAATGATTTTATAAATAAAAATTGGTAGTAAGCCTTACCATGAAGAATGGGCAATAAAACATTTTGTATTAAAGGCTTTCAAATGTCATTAAACGTGCACTGTGTAACTTTTCTGGAGAGGGTCCACAACCCGTTGGTCTCCATGGAGATGTTAGTGCTTTGAATGAAATTGTCAACAGTATGGTGTTAATCTGGTCTGTCTTACATTTATTCAACTACAGGTGTTTAAGTGCTCAAAAATATCTTAAAAACATTCATTCTTACTGTGAGTGGGGTCCACAAATCTAACTTGTAATTTTGCTTGAAAGTCTCCATGGAGATTCTTAGGTTTATGGCCGTACTGTTGAACATATTAGGTATGTGTCCATGAAGACAAGCAGGTGACAGCCCCTCCACCACACACAATGCACTTTAACTGCAGTTCATATCAAATAATGGAATTTTGAATCACTTTTTCAGTTATGTGCCACTCATGGGTCCTGCAGTAATCCTTTAAAGCCCGTAAAGGTAAACCTAAAAACATCTGTCAGATCTATTTTGCTCACAGCTCTCATTTGTTTGAGGTGCCATGCCAGGGCAAAACAGTTGATACAGCTTTAAATAGCCTTTGGTGTAACTTAGTCTTGAGTGAAAATGCTCCTGCTTCATCACTTGAATTGGATTTGGATCGTTTTCAAGTGGATCAGATAAAATAGTGTCTGTGCAAATAAGTGGGTGCTATGGGGGCATGGACATGGGGTCCTGCTGAGATTTGTCCACTGTCACACAGTATGAGAGCTTTGATTTCACTTTAGTCACTTAGATGGACAGGTAGGATGTTATGTTTTTAACCTTTGCCTTACAGATCTAAAACAAAGCTAAGATGCTCAAAATATTAAAGACACTGTAACTTACAGAGTAACCCTCATCTGTTTGAATCCATGTTATGGATTTGACAGGAATTTCCCCTAGAGACCATTTAACTTATCCTGTCTTACATTTATTCAGTTGCAGGTGTTTTGATTGCTTTCCACGGATCTGACCTGTAACTTGGTTTAATTTAGTATTGTGGAACATTCTAGGCAAAGCAATGATATATCCATGAAGACAAGCAGGTGGGGTTACCCTTCAACAAAAAAGTTTAAACAATATAAATTTGACAATGGGAAGAATATATTTTCACCCAACAAGCAATCATTTGTAAAGATTTAAAATGTATTGTAATAATTGCATACATGATAATGATAAGAGTCAAAAAATCTAATGTAAATTGTAATATAATGTAAAAATTTTATCAGTGTATCAGTATAATCTTGTTTGACTTTTCTGGTGAAAGTGAATCCTAGGCCTCTCGGCGTCCTCTGACGTGAGCAGCGATCTATCACCGCTCAGGCTGTAACATGAGTTTGCATTGATAGTCTGAGCACTTGTCATGCCGCCCTGAAACCCAAGCACTTCTCAGGCTCACTGCCCGTTTCCAGGACAGACACACAAGAGCAAACCGAGAGAAGCCAAGTGAGCCATGTCTACAGCCACTGCTAATGAAAAGTACAACAGGACAATGAATTGTACTATATGAATTGTAACAGTTACTGTATTCTAATACAAAAAAAAAAAAAAAAAAAAAAAATCAATTATATACTTGGGTCTTTTAAATTATGAGGTCCACAGCTGAACAGCTGATCCTCTGTCAGTAAAATCAGTGGTTTAGAGCAGAATTCATATTTTGGACGAAGAAATTTGACTATTGTTTTGTTTTAAATGGCAAATAGTCCATCTAGTCTATTCATGGTTGGGAAATTAATATGGAAATCCATTTGCATTTTGTTGTTTTCTTTGTTTAAGAATAAAATCAAAGCAATGATTGTGATTGATCAGAACAAGGAAAAAAAATCTCCTTGCCCCTGTAGTTGTTGTAATCCTGCAGCAGTTGAGCCAAATTTATCTTCTGCAAATGAAAAGATCTAATCCAGTGGCTCTCAAACTTGTCATATCAAGTACCTCCTAGAAACATATTTGGTCTGTCAGGTACCACCAGTTCTAAACCAGGTCTCAAAGAGGAGCAGACTACATCATGTCTACAGTGGTTCTAAACAATCCAATCCACTTTATTACTATAGCACGTTTTACTAACAAAAGCAGTTTCAGAAGTACTGCTCATAGTGATGTAAATTTGATTAACTGAAAGAGGTAAAAAATTTACGCAAAAAAAAACCTTGTAATTGAGCCTACAGTAGACCTGCAGATGGGGCTATAAGCAATATGACCAAAAAAAAAGAATTATTTTTTCCCCTTTAATTTCATTTTGTTGTTGTTGTTGTTTTTGTTTGTTTGTTTTGTTTTACAAAAACAAAATAAAACCAGTTTCAATATTGATTTCATGACAAATAATAATTAAGAGATAAGATTTTTTTTTTTTTTATAAATATTATAATGTTGGCATTAGATTATACAGTTTCCTTCTCCCTTTGTCTGACATTTGTTCTGTTTAGTTCATATAAGTCTGTCAGTCCGAGGGGTGAATGAGTGCGATGCCGATGATCTGAAGCCTTGTACTTGGTTGTTTATATTTAAAATAATATTTACACCTTAAGTCATGAACTGTCATGAAGTTGCATTTGTTGCATGTATATTCTTGTTTATGGATGTATTATGTGTTAAATTGCCCAGTGAGCACAATGGAGAAATATGAAATGCCTTTTAATTTTGTTGATGGTATAAACTAAAATAGTTAAAATATCTTTTAAATAAACGTCCTCTTATGTGCATAAAAGTAACAGTAAAAACAGAATACATTTTCAAATAAAAATTCAATCTACTACATGTACTCACCATGATTTGTTTAACAGCTGCACATCTTCACTTGCAGAAGTTCTGGTCATGTCTTCTTGATCTGAAGGTAAAAAGATTTTTAGTTTTAGTAGAAACACATTCCTCATTCAATTTATAATGTATATTCAGATGTATATTTCAGTATCTTAATTTATATTTTATATTTTGTTAAAGGACTGTCTGAGTTGTCTCTTTCTCTGAAGGTGGATGCTGTAAAAATAGACAGAGCTCTAGAGTGTCAGCCACAGGATTAAGAAACTGATTCATGGTAAAAGTCCCTGGGTTGAGGGTCTCTGGGGTTAAGAAAGGCACGGTAACTTTAGTTAGACAAGTGTTCCATGTGTGGTAAACGTGCATGTTTAAAATAGGTTCCATAATCTTTCCTATAATCCACAAAGCCTAGCTCTAGCTCCAAAATAGTCAATGTATCCTTTATCAATTTAATGAGTGCCCAAGATAAATCACACTATCTCATCCAATATTTATCTCTCTGTTGCTAATGTATCTGTCAAGGATACAGGCTTATTCTGACATACTGCTATGAGTAATTATAGGTCTATGAGTATGAGATATGGGTTACTACAGTGAAAAGAATACTTAACCTCCAGGTACACAAATCCCAAACCAAAAAATAGTCTACCAAACAAGGAGTGAGTAAGAAGCAAATTTAAACCACAAAAACGATTCTAAGTAAGTTATCTATTTATATAGAGCTTTTCAGAGACAAATGTCACAAAGACGCTTTACAGAGCGTTATTCATTCCCTCCATACCTGGTGGTGGTAAGCTACAATTGTAGTCACAGCTGCCCTGGGGCAGACTGACATAAGTGCAGCTGCCAGTCTGTGCCATCAGGCCCGCCAACCACCACCATCACTCACACACACCACTTTCATACTAGGCAACATGGGTGAAGTGCCTTGTCTACGGACACAACATACTTGGCACCTGAGTTTCCCAGTGGTATCCCATCCAAGTACTAACCAGGCACAGCCTTGCTTAACAAGATCAGTATGGCCATACACTAAAAATATAATACTGTTAAAAAATGACAAAACAAAACAAAAAATAAGATGTAATAAATTATTAGCAGAGTGAAACACCTTAGTACTTACTTTACATCTGTATTAAATCATACTTATTGATTATACCTTAAAAAAAAAAAAAAAAAAAAAAAGCACCCACGATATCAATACTGACCCCAAAAATATCAAGAAGAAATCAAGTCATATGACATCATGTGACATCAAGAAGAAATCAAGTCATATGACATAATGATTCAAGAACTACAGTATTTTGATTACGCTAAAGTAATTAAGTCACAAACGCAAAGATCCATGAAATAAACACAAATTTTTTCCTACCTCGAGGAGGCTTGGGAGATGTCTTCCGGACCGGTAGGCGGCGGTAGAGCGCCTCGCCACCGCTGGACAGAAGAAGTGACATGAAGTTTGAAATTTCACCGGGAACATATTTAGCACATTTTTAACGATTTACAGGAGGAAAAACTTCGAATATTTATGTAAGTACAACACCACGCTATAGGTTTATACATTAAAACAATATATTTCTCGTTTTAAAAGCCTCTCAATGCGTTACTTTTCTAGGTTATTTTGCATAAGTGTCAGCACCACAAAGCACTCATAATATTGTCCGCATTTCGCTTTGTAAAGTGTTGTTGTAAACTTGTGTTACAGGACCATGTCTGAACTAGAGGACTTCTCTAAACGTATTCATGAAAGACTGGCTTCAATTCAACGAATGCTGGATCTGTCGATTATAGGTAGGCTTATTACTGTTTATTTAGTGCAACAACATGCACAAAACGGGTCATGATGTGCATTCAAAGCACAGCACTATTTTTTTTTAGACTTGCCTCAGAATAAGTTGAAAAAACTTGGTCAGGAGCTGTTTGCTATTGAAGGAATTTTAGACGAGTCTGAGAAATATGTTAATCGCCAGAGAGACCAACTTCAGCATCTGAAAGTAAGTCAGACACATAATGCTGATTTTTTTGTGAAATATTGCCATTTTATGAAGTATTTGGCATTTCACAGCACACCTTCTAAACATATCCTGGAATGTTAACATTTGATTGATTGATAGCATGCAGCAGTTTGCAGCCGAGTGTGAAGGGGCTGGGATGAAGATCAGCTCTTCTAAGTCTGAGGCTATGGTTCTCGACCGGAAAAAGGTGGCTTGCCCTCTCCGGGTGGGTGGAGAGTCCCTGCCTCAAGTGGAGGAGTTCAAGTATCTCGGGGTCTTGTTCACGAGTGAGGGGAGGACGGAACGTGAGATTGACAGGCGGATCAGTGCAGCTTCGGCAGTGATAAGGTCGCTGTATCGGACCGTTGTGGTGAAGAGGGAGCTGAGCCGAAAGGCAAAGCTCTCGATTTACCGGTCAGTCTTCGTTCCTACTCTCACCTATGGTCATGAGCTCTGGGTAGTGACCGAAAGGACGAGATCGCGGATACAAGCGCTCGAAATGAGTTTCCTCCACAGGGTGGCTGGGCGCTCCCTCAGTTACACAGGAGGAGCTCAGAGTAGAGCCGCTGCTCCTCCACGTCGAGAGGAGCCAGTTGAGGTGGCTCAGGCATCTGTTCCGGATGCCTCCTGGGCGCCTCCCTCGGGAGGTGTTCTGGGCATGTCCCACCGGGAGGAGGCCCCAGGGAAGACCCAGGACACGCTGGAGGGACTATGTCTCTCGGCTGGCCTGGGAACGCCTCGGGGTCCCCCCGGAGGAGCTGGAGGACGTGTCTGGGGTGAAGGAAGTCTGGGAGTCTCTGCTTAGGCTGCTGCCCCCGCGACCCGGCCCCGGATAAGCGGACGAAAATGGATGGATGGATGATTGATAGCATTTATATAGCGCCTTTCAAGATACCCAAAGCGCTTTACAGTTCATTATTCAGTCACTCCACACTCAGTGGTGGTAAGCTACTACTTTAGCCACAGCTGCCCTGGGCAGACTGACGGAAGCGAGGCTGCCAATCTGCGCCATCAGCCCCTCCGACCACCACCATCACTCACGCTCACACCAATTTCATACTAGGCAATGTGGGTGAAGTGTCTTGCCTAAGGACACAACGATAGTTTTTTTTGCCACTGGCGCCCCACTGTGGCACCTTGAATTCCTAGTGGTCTCCCATCCAAGTACTACCCAGGCCCAGCCTGCTTTTGGATAAGTCTAAAATATACAACATAGCAAATTCAATAATCCCATGCATTTGTTGAAGAGGTGAACTGAAGAGAACTAGAACGGAACCAAACCAAGTATCAGAACAAAACTAGCCATCAGTTGCTCTGGTTTCTACTTTCTAAATAGTTGTCCTTAAATATATATGTATACACATTGGTCAGATCTATACCCAGTACTAAAACAAATGTTGGTCCTATTCAAAGATAAATCGTCCATGCATGAGAGGTGTGAGTTTTCATCTTTTTGGAGTTGTAAATCTGCTTTTCCTGTTTTTCAGACACTTGAAAAATCATCACAAAAATATTTAGAGGACCTCCGTCACCTTCAGGACAACATCCCAGAACATTTGCCACAGAAAAAGAACCAAGTAAAGTGAGTAACAAACCAGTAATTCCTCTCTTCATAATATGATACAGAATGGATTCATTTTAGTCTTGAAACTGTTAATTATAACTTTTTAAAATGCTGATTATTATTTTACCATATGCATAGTTATATATAATTTATTTACCTCTGTAATTTTAGTGTAAGTGAGCCAGTAAAGGCCTATATAAACACAGAAGATACCCAGTCACGGCAGCCTGAGAAGATCAAAAAAGTTTGCAAGGGGTACATAAAGGAAATGGATTTCATCACCATCCCTGAGTATGAGAGCATCCCTCAGTAAGTACTGTAGCCATCTGTGACTATAAAACCATTTTGCACAAAGAGTGACCCCTAGGGAACGGTTGAGGTGCTTGCATTAATAAATAATAATGTTTTTGTTCCTGCAGGTATATGAAGGGGAGAGTGTCCTATGATCAGCTTAATTCTGCTGTGCGCTGCATCAATGCGTCTTTGTCCTCTAAATACAAGATACTGCATCAGCCCATGAAAACTCTCAACAACCGTTCACGCAAGTTACATCAGCGGTTTAAGGAGCAGGAGACCAAAGACACAAAAGGTAATGGTGAAACAACACAATAGTACACAGCTCTTGTTTGAATGGATCTAAATCTATTTTTAATATGTTTAGGCCAATTCTTCATTGTTGAAGCTGACATATGTGAATTTACTGAGACAAAGGTTGACAAAAGGTTTCAAGGGATTTTGAACATGCTGCGGCATTGCCAGCGCCTAAAGGAGCTACGAGGTGGTGGTATTACTCGCTATGTTCTGTTATAAAAATGTTTTTGTATAATTAGCGTTTTATACATTTTAAACCACTCAGCTTATGTAATAAAAATGTAAAAAGGCAATTGTGAGAGCAAAGAAAGTCTGACTGGTTACACCCCAAACTAAATAGACTTTACAATAACTAATTTAATTAGAGCATAGAAAACAAAGCAGAAATATTTAGTATTTTTTATTTATCTTTGTCATTTCACCAAAAAGTTTGCTGCATAACTACATCCAAAAGCATTCATTATTGTCGTCACTGTGCTCTATCATTGCTCAAGTGACGATAGTGTGACATCATCAGTGCCGCCATGACAACATAGCGCCACGGCATGGCTCAAACAGCAGGACAACATCTGACAGTGTTTCCCATCAGCAGTCATCAGTAAAAGCATTGTCCATTACCCCTGGAAAAGCAAAACATTGCACATCAATTTAAATAGCATAGCATCCAGTATCTTTCTTCAAATACCTTCTGAGAAACCAAACCCACCCACTAGCCCTGTCTTGAGTTTTACAATGAAAACTGTTATTCATGTATGTTTGTATGATTTCACAAAGTAAGACAAATATTGTGATGTATGTAAATATATGCTTAAGTTAAAGGTGCACGGTGCTAATTTTCTGGTGGTGAGTCCGCTACTTGTCACAATGGAGGTGTTATTGCTCTGCCTGGAATGTCCTATAATCATTTCCATCTAGCATTTATTCATTATAGGTGTTTCTATTGCTCAAAAGTACAAAGATTGCTTCTGTGAATAGAGGTGACTCTCCACAGATCTGAATTGTAATATAGCATAGTGCTGTAACCTGCTTGTTTCCCTCATGATGGATGGTTTAATCTATACAGTGGAACATTCTCAAAAAAGTAATAACATTTCCATAGAGATAAGCAGGTAGCAGACCTTCCACTAGAAATTTTACACAGTGTACCTTTAAGTCAGCAAATATGTGGGCAAAATGAATGTCTACTTGTGTAATAAATAAATAAATAAAATAAAATCTGAAAATAAACTTTTTATGAGGTTTGGAGTTCAGCATTCAATCCAACAATGTCTATGGTGCCATCTACAGGCTATAAACACAATTACAGAGCAAAATAATACATTTTTGGCTTCCAATTAAAACATTTTCTATAAATGGAAGTACAAAAAGGAAAAGGATCAAGTGACTCATCTTTGCACAGCCCCGTTCAGATCATAAAATAGCATTCTGTTTAAATTCATCATATACTTTATACATTTCCTTCTAACTACAGTCATATACTTTCATCGGCTTCACTTGTTTTTCCATTTTCATTGTACTTGGATAAATATCTAAAGCTATCATGAATTCATGTCTGCTCTGATCAACCATTCTCAGTATATTATCACTTAATGTGCTCTAGATAATCCTCTGTTTCTCCTCAGAAAAAATGAGGTCAGTTGGCTTTGACATTCCCTTCAGTAAAATTGCATTTATTTATCTATATAATATCTGCACTGGCAGTCAGATTAACCTTATACCATTCATCCACATTCTTGACTCTTTTTGACTCACTCTTTTCACGAGGCCTCTGTTAAAACACAGTTGTAATCTCACATTGTAGGCCCCATGGTTTCTGTCAGTGCTCCAAAGAATTTGCCACTATTTCCATGAATTCACTCACAGTCCTGCTTAAATGTATATTGTATATGTAATTCTATAAATTCAAAGTAATATAGCACATCCTTCTCCAAAGTGCAAAGTTGAAGTTAATAACAATTGAAGTAACCATTTTATACTGATGTACCTAACTCATTTAGTACGATATAATAGTATGTAATAATAGGACCACCCTAACCTCCATGTAAGTACATTGTTGCAGTACCATGTACTGCAAATTAAAGCATGGCCAAATGTTGATGAAATATGTCCTGCATACCCTCCCACGTAACTTGCATAAAACTCTTCATTAAATCCTCTGTTATGTACAGCAATACATTAAATTCTTACAGATTGGTTCCCAGTGACCCTCAATGTCTCAAAACTTTACCAAAATGTGGTGTCTACTTTCCATCAGCGCTAAAAACACAAAATCAAATACAGTAGATTACAGTAGACAAGTTTAAGTAAAATGTAGAAGAAACTAAAACAAATCAGTTGAATGCTAATGCCATCAGTGTGTTTTTATACAACTAAAAAGAGATAATTGAAATACAATGATTTGTTTTGTTTCTAGACTTGATACTAAAACTGGTCTAACACTAAACTGGACATTAACATTCTTAAAGCCAGACAATTTTGAGCTTGTTTTTGGAGTCTGTTCAAAATCAGACAGCAAAAAGTAATCCAATGATTACACAGTGATGAGTTCATTGTGTTTTGTTCAATGAAGGAAAATTAAAAAGACTGAAAAATATTTTAAGAAGTACAGAAATGCCATTGGAATCACAGACAACTATAAGCCATCGAGTTCTTTGCATTTTGCCTTAAAATATAGCAAGTGAAAGAGAAACACTTCTAGGTCTTTTTACATAAATAAATTCATAATAATTAATGCACAAAAGTAAAAGACAAAGTACACATATATCCAAAAAAATCAATTTCAGACGTTTCAAGACAAGATTTTTTGTCCTTTTGGGGTTTTTTTCATACACATATTAGTCAGCGCTAGATGGTCTACATAAGAAAAAGCACAGTTTGAAGTCCAACATCCTGGCTGTGATGGACTTATGTGAGAAGTCCCAAATACAAATGGTCCGGTCCAGAGGAGAACTGGACCAATGGCCAATGGCTGATTTATTCCGCCATGTGCTGGGCAGACAGCAGTTTGTGTTACGCTTTAGTCCGACTGTGGCTGGGTCGGTCCAGCAGCACGAGGGGCCTGCCATTTGGTGCCTTGACAGCACAAGTCTCCACAGAGTTGGGACTCACGGGCTCAGGAGCAGAGAAGATACAAGAGCAGATGTTTTTGAAGTTTTGCATCACTAAGAGAAGCAGTCCATGGTGTAGGGACAGTATGAAGAGCCAGATAGAGGAGCAGGAGGAGGACCTGAGCGGGAAATGAACGAGGGCAGGAATGAACCAAGAAAAGATGGCTGCCATACCACTAACACCTGCAAATAAAACAGAGGTACAGTGTTTTAATGCTAAATAAATAACAAACTATAATGTCAAATGTGTTTTTTTGTTTTTTTTGCGGCATCTCACTGCATTTAGGACTCGCAATAAGTACAGTACTGTATGTGTGCACTGTGTGTATGCAGTGTGTTAAAGAGTACTCACTAGAGTTTGCTGCTTGCACTCAGTGTCAGGGCTATGACACTTCAGCAAATTGTCTCCAGGTGTCGTGAGTTCTGCTGTAAATGATAAAAAGCACAAAACTGACAGTGAATACAGATGTACATTAAACGCTATTATATATTATATAGAAAATGAGTCTTACAGGAGCGTCACTCCACTGACGAGGGAGGTCCTCTGGTTCAGGGGGGTACGACATCCACGAGGGGCTGCGGTATGACGACGGCGGGGACATGACAAAGTAGTCAAGGCACCCGGGCCGGTTGGCTGATATAGCATACACTGCTGTGATTGGGTTTCCTGTGAGTAACACAGACCAGTACATGGTTCAGGGGGCTAAACAAAGAGTTGAATATACATGTAAAAGTCCCTAGTGACTTACCTGTAGCTGTACCTGAGTATGTACTGATAGACTGATCAACAGTGACAGCGGGGAATGGGGTTCTGGACAATGGCAGGTAGGGGGCACCATTGTGTTGTTGAGCCTGCAGCTCAGAGGCCTCGGTCACACGAGGCTTGAGGCTCATGTCAGGAGTGGAACTGCAAACACACACAAGAGCATATCTACTTTACCAACAGAGATACACAATGAACACTGACTGTGAAAGTTTGGAACATGTATCCACTGTCAAACAGACCCAAAGCTTTAGCTGAGGTGTGCGAGTTAATGAAGATACTTGAAATTTCTCCATACAAAACATTTCAGTTCAAATCACAAAAATGAGTCATCAGATTACAAGTTAGTATATTATTTGAGATGAGCATTTCTTCCACGCTCATCTAAATATTTTTCAACTACAAAATATATGACGCATTTTCCCTTGAGGCTGCACTATTGCTCAATGAACTGACATATTTTAATTTTCACAGTGACATGAACATGAAAAGTCATCAGAATCATCATTGTTTTGATCTTCTGTGGCGCCCAAAGGCAAACTGCATCGGTGACTTCACAGCACAGAGAAGGAGGATGGTGTCAGAGCCATCAGAGCGCAGGACCAAGATGCACTGCTCTCCCACTTTGAATACTAAAGAGACTAAAGAGGCAACAGCAGCTACAGGAGATGGAGAAGAAGGAGCTGACTGATTCAATATGGCTGCTGCTTGTTTGAACACTGACACCTTTACTGTTGTAGTAAACTGCTTTGTACTGTATTACCCTTGATAATGCTAGGCAATTAACTTTTATGTGAAGTACTTTGGTCAGCTGAAGTTACAATGGTAAACATCACATGCCCTTGAAATTCTGTCCTTTTGCTGATGAATCCAGGATCAAAATACAAAAAATATACTTATAAAAATTGTGTATTTTTTTGCTTACTCATTAGAATTTTTATGCTTTTTCAAAACATGCTCTGTCTTTTTTTATTTTTTTATTTTAAATGCTATAAATTTTAAATGTTATAAATTTCTCTTAAAATCGCATTGATAAACATTTCATGTCCTTGAAATTAAATCTTTGGACATTTGATTGATTTTGCTGATGAATCCAGAATCAAAACATTGTGACAGTGGAAAAAATATTACTAATTATGTGTTTTTGCTTTGTAGGGATTTATTTTATTTTTTTTAATTGTTATACATTTCTCCCCTGTTTCTCACCATGGTAATCAATTGTGTATATATTGTATATATTTTTGCTTCCTTATTAGAATTAGTTAAAGAAAAAAACAAAAAAAACAAACAAAAAAAGCATGCTCTCTAAGTAAATGCTGAATTGAAAATAAGTTATGTGCTGCACGTGAGCTCAGAAGACTTCAAAGTTTTTCTTGAGTTTTTTGACCACTAGGTGGAAGTGCTGTCCCTTGCGTGGATTCAACCTGCCTGCAGTGAAAAGTGCCCAGCAACCCAGCAACCAAGCTCTCATCCACAGCATCCAAATGACCGAGCAGCTCAGTTAAGATGATGCAGCCAAACACATGAGTGAGAGAGCAGGGCCATTAATATTCTGAACCTCTGATCCCCCTCTCTGATCCAACCAACCCCAGTTTCATCATTTATACATAAATGTAGTACAGCAAATTAACTCAGCCTCTGATTGGCTGAGCTTCGTAGAGAGATTTTGAAGGCCTTGTGTTGGTATTTATGAGATCTATCTTTTATGAGTCTCACATTTTTACATAACACACAGCTTCAGACAGAAAGTTCAAGAGGTTCATCATATTTCTCTTCACAGAAAATATTATGAACCCATTGTTTAATGTTACACAAAGCAGAGATAGCACTCCCAATTATAAAGTGTAATTAAAGGTAACGATTCTTCGGGAGGGTACACGACACGCTAGTCTCGATGTTTTAATTGTTCAGCCCGGAATGTTTCACAGTAGGGCATTTAACTAATCTGTCTCCATGGAGGCGAGCAGGCCAAGGTACAGATAATTTTCGATAATTTTTAATGTGGACATACCAAGCAAAGCAACAACATTACCGTAAAGGAAAAAAATGTGGCATACCCTCCACCAGAAAAATTACACAATGCCTTTAAAAACCTTTAACCATGTAAAAATGAATCATGTAATGCAAGCCAAAAGAGTGTGTTTTGTACCGTCGTATTGAGGTCCCAGGTGGAGGTCTTGAAGGGACCAGGGGAGGAGGTGGAGATCCTATGCCCATGTCAGGCAGCTGGGTGAACCGGAAACCCTGAGGAAAATTACAAATTAAACAGTCACTACTTCATAAATCTGGATTCACAAGCAGCATGTCTTGACATATATTTTTAAAAGCATTTCAATAAACCAAAGAGAAGTATACATTGTTTGTCCTTATCTATCTCTTGTATATAGCTGAGACATATTTGTATTACTATATTTAAATTTTTTTTTTTGTACTTGTACATTTATATAATTATGATTTATTTGACACCACTACTTATTTTGAATTTAATACCATTTATATTTTTGCTCTTTGTTGTTATAATGTATTGTGATGAGTGAGCTACTGCATCCAAATAATTTCCCTTGTGGATCAATAAAGTCTGTCAATGTGTAAGTCTAAGTTTTTGTATCATCAGTATTTATAATATTGATTAGAAAGGTAAATATATTTTTTAACAGACAAGCAAAAGCTCCTGATCCGTTGAGAACCTATGATGTGCACTGAATCTCTGTACCGGTTTTGGGAGACTGCACTGGTGCATGTCCTCATAGGGCACACTCCTCTGTCGGCCTCCACACGGATGGTTCATGGTCCCTGGGGCGCTGGTCACTCCATCACTGTAGTGGCTCACATGGGATGGGTTATAGGCGCTGTGGGCATGGCGATGGTGGCTGCTGAAAAATGAAATATGTCATTAAGAATATAATTATGCAAAAGAGTTAGCTAACTGAAGTAAAAACATAACTAAATGTCAAATAAGTACATTATAAATGCACAATAATTAAGAATTAAGAGGATTAACTAAAGATTTGTGCAGGTCAATCCAGTTTCAAACTATTTTCTTATTTTAAATAAACTGAAACAGCACAATCCTTTTGCTGCTGTTATTTCCTCATGTTTTCTCTGCACTTTTAACCGCTTCTAGCAGACATGGGAGTGTGTGGGATCTGAGTTCAGGGCAGATTCCTACACAAAACAGAAATGATAAAAATGCTGAAATATGTTTTGAGCAGTGCATAAGCGTACTTAGTCGGAGGAGATGGTGGGTCATGGTCCGGAGGTGCCAGGCTGAAGGCGTTGCCAAGCAACATATGCATCTGTGTGCGGACCTCGTCAATGGACGGCTGAGAGCTGAGTGTGGAGGAGTCAGAGCCGCGGTGAGCTTTGACTCCCAGGCTGCCGGTCCCTGTGCCCGTGGAGCCCCCACCGAAGCCCAGAGAAGTCATCAGGCGGTCCACGTTTGTCTCTTCAAATGGCTCCGGCTCCCCCTACAGGTCAGGGACACACATCCTCAAAGTCTGCCACCAAAGCACTTACATATACTTTTGATTACAGAAAAATTAACGTAATATTTTAGAAAATATGACGCACATGTTTCAAAAGAAAACAAAACACCCTGTTAAGGCTGGTATTTAGGCTCTTGTTTAATAAATAACCAAACTCCATGAATATGAAGCGAAGGACCTGTGTTTTTCTTCAACACAACCTGCTGCCACTTCCTATTAGACCTAATCTAGTGAATTTACTAATTTATCAGCACAGCGGGATATTTAATTACAGTTTCTACTAAACTTGGCTGCTTCCACAAAAAAGTTTAGACAAAAAATAAACAGAAAAACACCCACAGTGTTTATGAATTGCATAAGGCCAACAGTTCATTGATAAGCTCCAGGGCCTAGACGGTAAATGGTTTTGTGCGTATAATAATTTAACACAGAACAATGATTATCTATATGTGGAGGCAAAGTATGCGACAACTCTGAACTAATGGATGGCTCCAAAGAGGAATGTGCTGGCACTACGTAATGATTCATTATTGACTTCAAATGGATGTTACAGGGTTGTTTGGGTGCAGTCCAGTCACTGCCTGCTGGACCCAGTCAAATGGACAAAGTAAGACCAGAAGTTTACAATCGAGAAAACAAAATATAACTTTTTACATGGCTTATTCAGGTCAATAATAACTGCTTTCTAATTTACTGCCATTTTATTAGCTCTGTGTAGCAAATAATATATTTAATGTTAAAGTCTATGAAATGTTAAAGGGCCCATATTACACTATTTTCTGATCTATGTTATAATGTTGTTTCCTCTTTACTAACATGCTTGGACACACAAATCCTGCATATTTAGGCTGAGTTATTCTCTCAAAAAGAAAACTCTCTGTGTGTGTCTCTTTGTGATGTCATGTGGAAACTCAGGAAGTGCTCCACTGTGTTTTTAAAACTCCATGCACCTTCACTAGAATGATTTGGATGATTTCAGACTTGGAATGGACCATGTCTACTGAAATGAAGGTAAAAGGAGGTTTTAACTTGAAAACTACTGCTTCATGACAAGTTCGAACAAAGCATTTTGAGCTTTTGAGATATAGGCAGACTAATAATAAAGGGTTACTCAGACCTGTGTGAATGAAACAAAACAAAACTCCAGGTATGTTTTTGATTCTAACAAGGTTTAAAGGTTACAAGACTCAATTTTGGGTAATATTTAGTAATAATAGTAACATTTATACTAAAAACATTTTTATGGGGCTGGTCAGACACATCACTTTCCATAAAAAAAACAATCCAGTCCTGAAAATACGTTTCAGTTTCTAGTTCCAATTTGTCTGCGTCATTTCACTATTTACTCCACTACTACAGGTAAATACAAACACACACAGTCCCTCCTGACTGCTGTCTTTTCCCATTTGATTTTGGTACATACAGAACCATTAGACACTATCCAGCCTCCATCTGAATCATTAACATTCAGCGTGGAGCCACATGCGGATGCTGTTACTGTGGTGCAGGAGAGATTTCACACGTATTGAGCTCATTTTCTCCTCTTTCCTCTCAGCTTTCATTTCTTCTCATTTTGTGGCTGCCTGTGTCATTGCTCATACTTTAATATCTTCTACTTTGTACGGTTTAGTGCAGATCTATTCAGGTTCAGCTTAAGGTCACTGGTTAGATCATAAGGTATAACCCCAACTCACCAGAAAGTGAAGGAAAGGTATGAGTAGAAAGAATTAAACTAGCACAATGAGAAGATTATCCCATTCAATTGTAGTAAAACCTGTATGGTTTACTTTGCACACACATTAAGATCAACTGGCATGACTAGGGGAAAACTCAAAATGTGCACTTGTTTCATTTTACAGTGGTGGATATGAACTGAAATGAAGATAATACATTTGATCAAACTAATAAAAATGAGGTGAAATGTATCGCAGACGTACATCGTAGCCGTTATTGCGTATGCCCCTCCTGGACCTCTCTCTAAGCACAAGCAGGTCCATCTCTGTCTCCACCGGGCTGGGGCTGCTCAGAGACTGCCTGCTCCAGTATGTGGGCTCCCGCGGGTGAGAGTACCTGGCACACACACCATTTACAGCCGTTAGATAATTATAGTTTTGTTGGATAGAAAACCTACTTTTTGTCAAGACAGAAACTATCTTTACAAAATTGCTATATTTATAAACTCCAGACAAATAATAACATTTTGTACATTTACACACTTTTGTACATTTACACACTTTTGTACATTTACACACTTTTGTACATTTGCACACTTTTGAACACAGTTTGAATATTTTTAAGGCATTTGCTTATAGTCAAGCCCAGACTCCATAGACATAAACTTTAACAATAACTGGGTAATTTGAAAGTGTTACTTTTTGATATGAATAAAGGCATAATGATGTGAACACAGTGTCTGGGTGTGTTGCTAAGCAACTCTGTTCTATCCCATCGAGCAGAAACTCAAGCTGTCACCAAAAACACATTTAAAATAGCCCTTTAATTATTATTGATTAAATTAAACAATGAATAGCATGAAACCATTGTTCAATACAGGCACCATTGTGTGTCAAGAACTCTTCTTGTAAAAGACATGGTGAAACATAGTCAAGTTAAACATGGGTTAAATAATACATTTTCATTTCAAATCTTCTTATGATAACACAAATATTTAGGTTTTAAATTTTATCTTCCATGTAGAGACATTTATATGAGCTTAAGTGAAAACAGACACACTTTAAATGAAAGTGCACAGACCTCTTGTGGCAGCCGGCGAACGAGGCCCTCTTCTCCTCAGCGGTCATGGGCTCCTTTAGTCCATTGCAGCTGTACTGGCGACGGCCGTATCCGTGGCTACCACTCTCAGACAGAGAAAACTCTCCGTAGCCTTTCCTCCGAGGCTTCTGCCGCAGTTTGTTTCTGTAGTGCTCAATGTCAGGCTTCGGCTTCAGTCCACTGTGATTTGCCTTTAGTTACAAAACATTCAATAGTGAATCCATAGTAATTGTTTGTTTGTTTTTTAAAGATAGATAAATAATCTAAACTATACAGCATAGAAATGTTATTATACATTATTATTATACATATTTCTGAGAGTTGTTACTATTAAGAAAATGCCAAACAAATTCTATGATAATAATTAAACTTGAGCGACAAAAGTACCCTGCATACAAACAGTGTCATAAACGATATGCTGACAGTAAAACAGTCCATTTCCCCTCTTTCACGTCATGCAATTAAAAGTACATTATGTGCTTACACAAGGCCATTAGCTAAAATGTGGTTAACAGAGAGTTGAAGTATTAATACCTCACTTCACAGATCATTTTAGCATGTTCTTGAGCTAATTAACCCCTATCTGCTCTCCTATGTGCACAGCAAAGTGAAAGCTAACACTCATCATTAACTGTGCTGTTTCCACCAGGGGCTCACAGGACATAAAAACATGTGGTTGGGTCTGTTCATTTGTCATTTCAAAGGGAGGATTTATTTGTTAAATCTCAGTGGAGTCAGTTTTACTCTGTTCCTCAAAATAACATGTGTCACAAGCCTCAAGTCACTCAAGTATGTATTATGCTACCAGTACCAGGTGAATCACTGAGACTAAAATATATAAGGTATGATACAAGTGAATATATTGATATTTTGCAGTCACATCATGCTGGGGGTGTTCTACATGTATCTCTATTGGCAGAGTGTTACTTACCATGGTGACGCAGTGAACACATTAGCAAACATAGACAAAAAAGTTTTTAAATTGTCTGAAAATTCACAAAAATATATACAAAATAGATTTAAAGGGAGGGACTTGTTTGACAGCACACATCACCTCACATGTTGTAATGCCAACTCAATCAGCTCTTTCTGGTCAGATTGTATTAAAATAAAACTCAGATTTCAAGTTAGCATCACACCCCAAGGAAATATTGATGACATCTGCTGCAAAGTATCAATCAGACACCATAGCCACGTTTTCTGTTGGCCGGTGTGTATCTCAACATGATGTGGTTTTAACTTGTGACGAGTATGTATCCAGACTCACATCTCCATTGGGTAACACAGAGTCCTGGCTGTGGGACGAGGATGTAGGGTAAGAGTAGGTAGGCTGAGCTGTCATGGGTTTGATGGTGATGAGACGCAGAGAGCTGGAGTGGTCCTCATAAGGGTCTAAAAGAAGAGGAAAGAATACAACTGTAAGTTCAAAATACACTAGGCAATATGTAGTGCTTATATTAAAACAATATAGATCCTTTAGAACTTTGTAAATGGTTAAAGGTCCAATATTACACAAAATTGACTCTTGTGAGCTTTAAGCCATGTTAGAACATTGCAACCTCTTCAAAAACATACCCAGAGTTGTGTTTTGTTTCATTCACACATTTGAGTAACACTTTATTATTAGTCTGTCTATATCTCCAAAGCTCAAGATGCTCTATTCCTTCTTTTGATGTCATGAAGCAGTAGTTTTCAAGTTAACAGCAAAATTTTACATTTAGTTCAGTAGAGACTGGCTATTACAGGGCTAAAAGTATCAAAATGATTCTGGTGAAAGTGCATGGGGTTTAAAAAGACAGTGGAGCACTTACTCTCAGGACGTCACAAGATGGAACACAGCCTAAATATGCAGGGTTGTTAAACATATGTGAATGAACTAAAACACAACTTCAGATATGTTTTGATGAGGAAACAACATTATAAGTTTGATCAGAAAATTGTAATATGAGCTCTTTAAATGTTTTAATCTGGAGCCAATTGGAGATAAAAATGATAAATGCACATGGCAGGTTATAGACTAATCAGTAGGGATGTAACAATAACCAAACTATTGTGATATCGTATTGTCAAAAGTCTGCCAATAATATCGTAGACCAGCACAATAGATCAAATCACAAGTTTCTTTGCTTAAATTCATTGTTATGGTCCAGCAATAGCTATAAAAAGCAAGGGAACTACATTGACCATGATCCTTTGCTCTGTTTTGGTGCAAACTACATGAAGAAATAGAACTTCTAAGCACTTTTAAATCTTAGTTCTTTGAATGAAGTCGTGTCAAGGCATTTCAAGAGGAAAAAGTAGCATATTCACAATAAATATTGTACCATGGGATATATATCGTGAAAATACCGTACCGTGAGATTTGGATATTGTTATATCCCCAGGTATCAGGTTACTATACGCATACTTAACATAATTATATAATCAAGATTCAAATTTTGAAAAGTGAAGTTTTATCTAATTTGACTATTTTTATGACGTTTTTAGTTTTACCTCCTACAGAGACGTAATTCTATTATCAATAAAAGACTATAAGAAACCAATACAATGCTCCCTCCCTATCATGTTTGAGGAGCCTCACAAATTCACCTTATAAAGTTGTGTATCTTGTTTGAATATAAAACAATAGCCATACACATTCTTTGCTCCTATAGAAGGCTGTTGGAGTGGAGCAGAGAGCAGCAGATGGAGCGTGTTGTCTTGTACTGGCTCTGACTCACTGCTGGCTGACATCATATGAACAGTGCTTTATTGTGGGGCCACGGTAGTTTGTCATTAGCCTAGTCCCAGTTCGCCTCAAATGGCCACTTTTAGATGTATTTCTTGTAAGTCCCGGTGTGACAGCTAAGGTCAGAGGCTGAGAAACCCAATTGGAAAGCACACTCATGCATGTAGACAATATTGTGAACAGCCAAACCTAAGATATGCCCTCCTTGCTGAAATAAAACGCTTTTCTTAGCTGGTAGTGTTATACAGCAGTGGAAGAAGTACTCAGTTTTGTTATATAAAGGTGCACTGTGTAACTTTTTCTGTATGTCCTGTATGTTACTGTTCCACAGTATGACATTAAGCTAAAAATATATATTTTATTAATTCAATTACAGGTGTTTTTATTTCTTAAAACTACAGCAAAAAACATGCATTATTACTGTTAGTGGGTCCACTTCTCCACATATCTGACCTGTAATTTGGCCTGGTGATGTGGCCTGCTTGTCTCCACAGAGATAGTTTCATAAAATGCCATACTGTAGAACATTTCAGGAAAAAAACATGGAGTCAAGCAAGTAATGGAACCAGAAAAGTTATACAGTGCACATTTAAGTAAAAGTACAAATACTGGACCAAAAAAATAAAAATATCACATTAAAAACTGTACTTAAGTAAAAGTGTTTAAGTATCTGTATGTAAAAGTACTAGTACAAAATGAATTAGAGTGGAAAGTACAGATAACCGCTCTCAAATGCAGTAAAAGTAAATGTATCCACTTTAAAATCCACTTAAGTAAAGTGCAAATACTTACTTTTTTAACTTAAGTACAGTACTTTAATATTTATTCTTTGTTCTGCTCCACCACTGGTTTTATGTAACCTTTTCGTGGAATAGAACAGCTCTATTTGCATTCACACCAGGTGTTTGTTTGCTCTAAACCAAACACTTTTGCTATCATTTATCTCAACAGGACACAATTGCTTGCTTGTTTTTCTGATATACATTTTAATCTTTCATTTTCTTCAGCCTGGCACCGCAGTCTAATCTCCGCTGCCTTGCCCATCCAACGCGTAGTAAGAAAAATGATGCAATTACTCGTCCGTTTTTGTAGGTATTCAATCATCTGCTCGCATAAACACAGCAGATCACACAGAGTACAGTGGTTTTGAGATGAAAAATGTCACAGATCAGCAATGCCGGCATTATCAAAACTCAGGGACATGTTGCCACGGAGATCTGTGTTTCTACAGGGGCACTACATTAACAACCAGCACCGAGCGTAGGCCTGTCAGGATAACACATTTCGACAATAAACAACATTACTGAAACTAATTTATGCCACTAACACAATAATCCAAGAACAGATTTGAACCACAAAACTATTCTAAATCTACAATATTGTTAAAACATGAGCTGCAATAAACAAACAGCAGAAAGAACATTTGCATCTGCAATGAGTCATCATTATTTTCAAGTTGTTAATTCAACCTTTTACAGCTCAAATCTAATCATAAATAACCCAAAAAATAACCACAAATTTCCCAGTAGTGAAAAGAAACTAACTATACACATGATAAATTATGACCCCCAAAAAATATTGTTCCAGCTTTCATATACTGAACGATAAGTCAGTATGACATGGTATTCTTAACATTGTTTCAGTTTTGGTGTTATAATAAGCTCTCAAAGAAATCACTGGGTTGTCAGTACATGACTAGACTATTCGCCTTCAGTGAATCAGCAGAATAACTATGAAACATCCATAGTAAAGATATCACATCATAGCCATAAGAAAAACAGAAATCACACTGTGTCCTTGACTTTCTGTATTTTTCCCTTGTGAAAATCTGTCTGAATCTCACACATTTTCCAGTGAGTCATCGCACTAATACAGGACCGTATGCTCTGAGCTGTACAGGTGCAAATGTGGCTGGCCACTGTCACCACTGTCTGTACATTCTCCTCCCACTTCCTTGTATCACAGTGATTCAGCTCCACATTCACTTGATATCATGAATCAGCACTCAGAAAAGAAACTCCTTCCATCCTAAAAACTGTGTTATAGACAGAAACACAGACTTTCACCATTGCAGGAGTTATCTTTAACAGTATTTTACAAACCCCTCAGAACATATGATATTGGTTTAAAGCTTGTCAAATTGTCAATGGAAACTTTTAGTCTTTTTGACACTCAGTGAAAAAGATCTGTTTGAGTAGTTTTGGTTGTCAATAAAACAACTAGCTGATGAGAGTATCAAGCTGTTAGCATTGTGTTCGGGCTGTCAGAATACAGACCGTATATAAAAATGGACATAACTAATGTTTAAACCACCTTGTTCCAAATAGGAAGTGGGCAAGGGAGTGGGACTTTTGAGCTCTGATTGCAAATGACTCCTAATTTTTCACCCCTCTCTCTGTAACTGCTGCTGTTAGACTCATCATTTGGTCATAAAATGTTCGTTTTAACCCGCTCTACATGAGCCTGATCTTTTTATTTCACTATTTTGTCCCTAAATTAAGGTATGAACCAATCCGGTGCCTGTTTCGTGTTAGATCGCTCCCAACAGGACAGCAACAAGGATTGACAGCATGGCTAAGTGCCCCCCTAGTTACTCACTGGCTCTTTGGATTTCCAAATATGGTAGATTGTAGATTATGCACATTAACCGCTGTAACTGCTAACCTCGTTGAGCTTCATTTGGTTGCAACCGAACGCTATGGGTGATGTCACACTCCCTTAATCCACTTCTATTATACAATCTATAATTAGGTCTGAAAACAAAAAGGTACTGGGTTTGATTCCTGGACTTGGTAACTGTACTGTGGTTAAATAACTTTTACATTTCTCAATAAAAAATCAGTGATGTTGACTCTGTATCTTATATTCTTGCACCCTGATTCCTGATATGATAGTTTACAATCCTGCCTCCTTCTCTTCTCTGTTTGGGGTTTATGTACTGTGCCAGTCCTTTTCCTGGCAGGCCTTTCTCTGCACATAATCTCCTAATCTTTTCCTCACCGCTCCTCTTGTGCAGCTCCTCTTTGGCGCTCTTGCTGATGCTACCGTTGGTGGTTCTGCGGGCTGAGGAGCTCTTGCTGGTGTTCAGTTTCCCAGAGCCATTACTCGAGACGGAGCCGTCCTCTTCGCTTGGCAACCGTCTGTAGTAGCCATAGCAACAGAGACAGAGGGGAAAAGAGGACAGGAGAGGGTTTGTGAGTCTGGGCATGTACACAAAGAACAACGCTGGCACCAACACATCATTATGGAGAATTATTGTAATCCTTCAAAGTGTCCATAACACCGGTACAAAAGCATTTTCAATATCTAAACATGTGTATGCCAAAAGAATAAGCGTGTACTTCCACTGCACAAAAGGGACTTGAAATGTTTAAGAATGGATTCAAAACGCATATGACATCTCAATTTGCACGTAAGACAGGCTAGATCAATAGTCATATAACTGAAATATCTTAAACAAGAGCTTAAACAAATTACTTTTGTCAACTTTAAAAGGTCCTACATTACACAAAATTGATTCTTGTGAGCTTTAAGTCATGTTAGAATGTTGTTAACTCATCAAAAACATACCTGGAGTTGTATTTTGTTTCGTTCACTTTATTATTAGTCTATCTACAACTCCAAAGCTCAAAATGCTCTGTTCCACCTTGTGATGTCATGTAGTGGTAGTTTTCAAGTCAACAGCGACCTTTTACCTGTTGTTCAATAGAGGTTGAAAATTTCAGGTCTGAAGTAAATATGTATGGAGTTTAAAAATGCACTTTCTGTATTACCACATGACATCACAAGGTGGAACAGTGTTTTCAATTTGCAAAAATATGCAGGGTCTGTGTGTTAAACAGGTGTGAATGAAATAACACACAATACGTTTAGATACGTTTTTGATCATTGTGAGTTTTGGTAGTAAATAGTAAATTTAATCTGCCTTTTTACATCATGAAATTCAATAGTATTTCTCTGTATGCATCATTATTATTGCATCTTGTGAGTGGAGCTGGGGTCATATATACCGTATGACACTTTTTTAAATATTCCATTCGGTCCTTGTATTTACAGAGGTCACTGGTGCTAGGCTAGTGCGTAACAATGGCCATAGTTATCCTGCCACTAAAAACAGTCTTACCTGCTCCACAAAACACCCGAAGCAAATCTATTTTTATGCCAGACTGTCGATGTGAATGTCTGTGTTCATAGAATAATGTTTGAAATAAAACTAACCTTGCATCGCATGAATCGTCGCATGTTGAGGGACTATTTTTTCAGCAGCAGCAGTGGAATTTTACTTTGCTTCTGCTCAGACATAAATCCTTCAAATGCAAGGTTGGTTTTACTTTTTTACTGTTTTTAGTGGCAGGCTAACTATGGCCATTGTTACGCACTAACCTAGCACCAGCGACCTCTGCAAATACAAGGACTGGATGGAATATTTTAAAAAGTGTCTCCACACATCTCCAACACTCTGGCTCACTAGGAAATGAGGTCCTATGTCCAAATTTCCGGACTATTCCTTTAAATAAATAAAAAAATCACACATGTTTAACACACAAACCCTGCATATTTAGGCAGAGTTCTTCTCTCAAACAGAAAACACTCTGTTCCACCTTGTGATGCCATGCGGTAATACAAGAAGTGCTCAACTTTGTTTTTAAACTCCACACACCTTGTCTAGAATCATTTGGATGATTTCAGCCCTGAATTGTCAATTTTCTAATCTAAACGTAAAAGGAAACTATTAACTTGAAGACTTGAAAACTACCACTACAGGACTTCACAAATTTAAACAGAGCATTTTGAGCTTTTGAGATGTAGACAGACTAATAATGTTTTTGAGGAGGTATCAGCATTATAACATGGCTAAAAGTTCACAAGAGTCATTTTGTGCAATATAGGACAGTCTTATATATAGTCTTACGCACTACATCATGCCCTCTTTTATCAAGTAATGACTGCTCTGGGCAAGTCTTTAGTCAAGCAGGAATTTATTTAGACAAATGCAACCCTAAGTGTGTTTATATTCAGTGGAAAATACATGTATTCTGGTCACTCACTGCCCTTCCACTCCAAATCCGTGAATCTAGTTGTGGACAAACATAGAAAGCCTGTGGGCATGTAAGATACAACCGTGTCTCAAAATGACAGGCTAGTCTACAGGTGGCGGCAGGAACAAGAGATAGAGATAGGATAGAGAGGATAGAGAGAGGAGGAGAAAGAGAATGAAAGATACAGAGAGAGAGAGAGAGATACAGAGAGAGAGATACAGAGAGAGATGGTGAGAGAGATGGAGAAGAAAGAGAGCCGCGGGGTATTTCACACTGGTCTGCAAGGGCAGAAGCAGTCAATGTACGGTCAAGTCATCTTGAATCAGGCTATGTGACTAATGTATATAATGTATATCTGGGAAAGTACATGGTTTCTCTTTTTAGTTATTTTAATTGATGTATGCACTGTGTGTTAAGAGCAACAAAATATTTAAAATGTCCTGTATTACGCAAAATTGACTCTTGTGAGCAGAGGTGGGGACTTGGAAGTCGTGACTTGCTCTCAAATCACTATTTTTAGGACATGAGACTTGAGTTGATAAAATACATAAAGACTTGGGACTCGACTTGGACTTGAAGGCCAGTGACTCGGGGATTGACTTAGACTTGAGCCCTGTGACTTGAGAAGACTTTCTATTCTAACCGTAATGATTCATAAAGATCTTGACAAGAAAAAAAAAAAAAACATTTCTACAACTCTTATATAAATACTCATATCTAAATAAACCATTTTAAAGTACAGTTTAGTTTAAAATTCATATAAATTGCAAAAATCTAAGATATATTTGGTACTTTGGTTTAAAGACTTGAAATGACTTGAAGCTCAAAGCAGACGACTTGGACTTGACTTGGACTTATGGGCCAGTGACTCGAGACTTGACTTGGACTTGCCTGTATTTGACTTAGACTTGACTCGGACTTGAGGTCAAAGACTTGAGACTTACTTGAGACTTCCAAACCAATGACTTGGTCCCACATCTACTTGTGAGCTTTAAACAATGTTATAATGTTGTTACCTCATCAAAAACAGTTTTATTGTTTTATTGTTTGTATGTTTGAATAATCCTGAGTCTGTCTACATCTCCAAAGCTCAAAATGCTCTGTTCCACCTTCTGATGTCATGAAATTTTTAAAGTTTTTTTTGTTTGTTTTTGTCATGAATAGTTTTCAAGTTAACAGCTACCTTTTACCTTTAGTTCAATAGAGATCAGCAATTCCAGAGCAGATATTCTCCAAATGATTCTAGTGAAGGTGTATGGCATTTAAAAACACTTCCTGTATTACCACATGACATCACAAGGTAGAACAGAGTGTTTTTGTTAAAGAGAAAATAATAATGTAATTATGCAGGATTTGTGTGTTAAAGAAAATGAATGAAACAAAACACAACTTCTGTTTTTGATGAGGAAACATTATAAAATAGATCAGAAAAAGAGTGATATTGGCTCATTAAATAAGTATCTACTACTCCCTCAAAATACCACAACAGTACACCTCTGTACTTGAAGACATGCTTTCACTTCACAGTTGGTAGACAATGGAAAACAAACAGTGTCCTCGCCCATAACATACTGAGGCGAATCATATATACTCAATACATTTTCTGCACACTTCTGATATTCTTGTACACAGCTTGAGGCCTTGAGATTAGCATTCAGGCTGCACTTTTCTTATGCTCCACACACAAGTGAATAATGTGCTGGGATAATTGCAGTGGTTCTGAAAGCTGTTCCACTTGTTACATGTTCAAAACAAACAAGCAGTTTCAAATGAGGCAAAAATGATGAGGCTTTGTGTTGAGACAAAAGACCAATCTTCAGAATTAGCAGGAGGCAAACGCAAGAACTTCATCTAAATATGATCAAAAGTGAATATGTGATTTACACAAGTCTGCTAACGACAAGCTAATAATTTGTAAGAGTCTGAAAGCTGGCTATATTTCTGTTCACTTTTTACTTCAGACACACAAAGAGAAGTGGTAGGGGGTAAAAAAGAATAACTCCCATAACTATTTTATGTGAAGACTATTTTTTTCATGTCTGACTAAAATAAAAGTATCTTCTATATATTTCAAATGAATTATTATTCTATTATTTAATTGATTTATAAAAATTTATTATTTTAGAGACGTCTTAAAGGTGCACTGTGTAACTTTTCTGTTAGAGGGTCTGCCATCTGCTTGTCTCCATGGTGATTTTATTGATTTGCCTGGGATGTTCCACAGTATGGCATTCAACAAATATATCTTTTATTTAGTCAGTTATGGGTGTTTTATTTTCTCAAAACTACTGCAAAACCCATGCATTATTAACATGAGGGGGCACTTCTCTACAGATCTGACCTGTAATTTGGCCTGGTAATGAGGTCTGTTTGTCTCTATGGAGATAAAGCCAAACTGTAAAACATTCCAAGAAAAAACAATAACATCTACATGGAGTCCAGTGGATGATGGACTCTTCCAAAAAAAGTTACGCAATGCACCTTTAAATGGCTAAATGTGAGCTCATAATTTTTTTCATTCTGTAACACAAAACATTTTGTTTTTGCAATTATTTGTGTCTACAATTCTTTTTGCAAAGCTCAAAGTGCTAATTGTGTAATTGTTGTAAGTACATGTGTCTGAATATCCCGATTCGCCACATTCAAACATCTCTTATAAGAAATGTGAGCGCAGCCCCTCACAGCAGCTTTTAAATCTGTGATCAGTGCCGCTCCCTCAAGCAAAGCTGCATCCAGCCAACCTTCTAAATATACATGTGTTTATCATCCCCCAGAAGCTGAGCACAGCTAATCCTGCCCCCATTCATGTCAGTTACAGCGGTGTAAATACAGGGCTTTGTAGTGAGTGTCCACATTTGCATTTTAAGAGAGGAGGAATCTCATTTCTGATTCCGAATATTCTTGGGAAAACATGTCACAGTTGGCTGGAGCAGAGCAGAAGTCTTTGGGGTGAAGTTTAGAGCATGGTTTCTTTCATTATGTGGCAAACAGTCATAGGGTATAACAGCAGAGACAGTAATTTAGCTCAGTTTCACAGTGTTGTTTTGTATCTATGGAAGCAAGATCCAACCATCCATTAATCATAATAAGCACTGCACTGTCAGTATTCAGTCACATTTACAAAAATGAAATGTGATATTAAAATATTTTTTGTTCCTGGAAAATTAACAAGGTCATTTTCTTTGTGGCTTTGTGAAATTGGGTACATTTCCTACACTTGAGCTATTATTTTCAGCTGATGAAATATAACCATAAACTTTTAGACATTTACAAGCAACTGCTAGAGATTTACTATGGATACTTTCTGTGATATGGGCAAAAGTTTTGAGTCAGCGTTTTGTACAAAAGCATAAGTAACTTAAAATGCTCAAATATGTCAACTCCAAACAGCAGCAATAGGGTTGTATTGTTATTGTGCAGTGGTCAGTGCTGCACATGGTCATAAATATTGGACTGGGCATTATTATGAGCCAGGGCAGGCAGCTCAGTGTTGTGCCTCCACAGTGAGAGACACTAAGGTCAGACACTTAGGTCCTGTCCCAGAAATATTCAAAGACACTGGTTAATATGGCAGGAGGTGATCTCATCTTTGTGTTTCACAGTGAGTTTGCTATTGTCTCACAACAAAATAGCGGCAATTAAATGGTTCGTTAAAACATAATTATGTGTTGAGTCTTCAGTTGTGCAGTTTATTATCTTATTACTGTATAACTGAGACAGAAGGAGCTGTGATCCCAAAAGGACACTGGATCCAGACACCTGAGAAAGCTGCGGAGTGTAAAGTCATTGTGAGTTATTTATTTTAATGCTCACCGTTCTCGCTCTTTGATGATTTTTGAATCTGGCATCAGAGCAGTTGTGAGGCAGACATATTTATGTGTATCTTCAGGAGCTCCTCGTTAACACAGGACTTATGTTCAGATCACATCAATCTGCCTGACTGTGCTCTGCTTGCACTGGGCTTCTGTGTGGTTTAGCTCAGACACTCTCAAACAGACTCTCATGTCAGAGACCGCACGCCTCTAAAGCTCGGGCTTTGTCTCCGTCTTGTTCGCTCACTAAAACAGTTGCTTTAGAACTGTGTGGCTTAAAGTGTAACAGCTCTCTGCAGGATACAGTATGTTCAGTCTTTAATAGTGTTTGTGAAGAGAAACCTGTTTTAACACAGCACATTCAGAAAGACATTTTATATATTGATTTTGTTCAAAGGTTCAAAGGCAAAGCAGAAAAAAGTATTACAGATTCAACTATGTGCAGAGTGGAATTTGCTTTTTCTACAATATGTGGCCAAAGCCATAACGTAAAAATGTTTATGTATTTAAATATTTATGTATTTTTCTGAAGTTGTAAGGTGAAAAATAACTACAATGCCTGTAGTTTAAACTGAGCTGGAGGTCAGGTCAGGATTCAGTCACCGTCAGCTGATATTATGTGCTGACTGAAAATAATTTGTAATTCATTAATTAATAACTGGGCCTATGAAACAAAAAATGGCACAAAGTTGCTTTAGAACTTTTTGGCTTTAAGTTTTAACACACCACATTCAGAAAGACTCTCCCTTCCCACAGGCTTAAGTGCTATGTTTTTATTGATACCTTGAGAAATACCAATAACATTAAATAGTTAGTTGAGGTCAGTTAAAACAGAAATGACCAAAGAGCAATATAACTTCCATACCCTCCTTTGATGTCTGTCGATGGGGGTCTCTTGCCGCCCGTCCCGTCCTGGAGCACCTTCTTGTCTAGAGACATGGACAGAGGAGCGTCTCTCACAGGGAGACCCAGCACCAGCGTCTCTTTTGTCACTGAAACAGCATCATCTGTACGACCCAAGTGCTTTTTAGCGTAGTCAAACCCCTGGACAGGCTGTGGAAAAAGAACAGGTTTTGATTAATGTTAACAAATAGTAATCTTGTAATTATTGTGTGCAATGAGCAATGAGCACACCACAAGAAGCAGGAAAAACAAATAAAAAAACTAACATAAAGATGGTATATGTTTGATGTATTTCAGTAGTCATTATCATGAACAACACCACATTTCTTGGTATCAATGACAGAACGCAACCATGATAATGCTGAATTTAACTCCTTTCAAAAACAGTTCAACCCTGCATAACTGTTTGCCTGACCAGCCAGTCCCTTCTGCAATCTGCTTGAATCCATAAGGGACCAGATAATAAAGCGTGAAAATCCTCCATCCAAACTTGAGACGATCCAACCACAGCCGTTAATTTATAGCATGTGCCTCTCAAATGCAGATGACATCTTCTCCACAAAATTCTCATAACATTCAGAACTTAATATACAAAAATATTTTTTTACCCGAGATAAGTAATAGTTTGGTGCTTCCAAAGGTGGGACTTGCAAGTCATGACTTGGACTTGAGTCAGACTTAGGACACTATTTTTAGGACTTGAGACTTGACTTGATAAAATGGACTAAGACTTGGGACTCGACTTGGACTTGAAGGTCAGTGACTTGGGACTGGACTCGGACTTGAGGCCTGTGACTTCAGAAGAATTGAAAAGCACTTTTAAATCTGAATTCTTTCTATTCTGACCGTAATGATTCACACTAAGATCTTCTTAAAACATTTAAAAAAGAAAAATTTACATTTCTACAACTCTTATATAATCTATAAATACTCATATATAAATATACTATAATATTTTTAAGTACAAGTTAGTTAATTGAAAAATCTGAGCTATATTTGGTATTTTGGTTTAAAGACTTGAAATGACTTGAAGCTCAAAGCAGACGACTGGGACTTGACTTTGACTTATGGGCCAGTGACTCGAGACTCGACTTGGACTTGACTGTATTTGACTTGGGACTTGACTCAGACTTGAGGTCAAAGCTTGAGATTTACTTGAGACTTGCAAAACAATGACTTGGTCCCACCTCTGGGTGCTTCTATTGTTGATTATGTAAAAATTGACATGGTTTCTCAGTCCTCTTTGCTTTTTTCCCCCTTTTTTTACATGTAAAGTTGTAAAGTTTTGTCAAAGTGTGTGGTTCTGGCTGACCAGGTAACATGTAGCTACATCTATGCTGGTCATGTGGTTTCTTTTTTCCTTGGTGTGTGCGTAAAAAAACAAACAAGATGTGCTGTAGTTGCACAGAAGACAATACAAATGATCACCACTCCAATGAATATCTTAAACACATTTGACCAAAAGGACAGCAGACGTAAGCCTTTCTAAAGCGCCTGAAGTGGACACGTCTTCATTACAGATAAAGGTAATTGGATGGACCCGGACTTTTATATCCTCATGCTCCAGAATGAAGATTACAAGCACCTTTGAAGTTTGCAGCTTGGGTATAAAGAAGTAACATTAAAAAAATACAAATCCACTTAAGTTTGCAAGACCTCACTTAGCTCTTTGGGTGGTTAAATGCCTTTTAATTTAAGCAACTGAGATAACTGGGCTAAGATCTCACTCCAGTTACACAACAGCGCAGACCCAACTCTAATCCATCCCCCCTTTTCTATTTTGGGAACACTCTAAAATGGGATGCCTAATGCGTTTGATGATGTGCGCTGAATTGGCAGTGCATGCGAGGTAAGGAAGCATCCAACGTCCATGTTAATAATTCATTTTTTTGTACACAGTATGGTGCCATAGAAGAGTTGAGCTAACAGATGCGTACATGCTAACATACATAGAAATCTCCAGTAGCGTAAAAACATGGGCTGTGGGAGGGTGTGCGCACATGTGTGGACTGAGGTGATGTATGGTGACAGCTGCGGCTCTGCATGTGAAAGATGTATGCGGACTGCAAACAGCAACTCGCCCATGGCACTGTAGCATTCCCATGGTGACGCAAAAGCCCTCAGACAACAGTTGGGTTCAAATGCGATGGGAAAAAAAAAAAAAATATATATATATATATATATATATGCACTTAGACTTAGACAGACTTTATGAATCCACAAGGGAAATTATTTGGACTCACACATCACAAAATATTATAATAACAAAGGGCAAAAATATAAATGGTAATAGTAAATTCTAAATAATAACAAAAATAGGAAGAGCATAATTATACAAATGTACAGTATATGTATAAGTAAAATAAATAAATATAGTAATACAAATATATTTCAGCTATCTACAAGAAGTCATAAGGAGAAACCATGCAAAGATGACATGATGATTGTGCATTCTTGTACAGTTGTAGGGAGTATTATCTGTTACGTAAAGGTGAGTTGTTGTACAGTTGTTTGAAGTATGGTATAAATGTAGTCCTGTATCTCTCAGTGTTTGAGCGGAGCTGTAGGAGCTTCTCTGACCCTCTACAGTCTGGTGCAGTGAGTGAGCAGGAGTGTCCATGATGGAGAGCAGTTTGTCCAGTGTCCTTCTGTCCCTCACTGTGACAGATGTCTCCAGCTCACAGCTGATACATATACAGTATATTACAGATTCAACTATGTGCAGAGTGGAATTTGCTTTTTCTACACATACATATGTGTAGAATATGTACATATGTACAATGTAATCTATTTAAATATTGGTGTTTTTTTTCTAAACTAGTAAGGTGAAAAATAACTAGAATGTCTGTAGTTTAAACTGAACTGGAGGTCAGATCATGAATCTATGGTAGAAATTGCTGTTTGACCGTCAGATAGCTGATATTTTGTCCAGATTTATGGTTAATATCTCTGTAATTTGTCATCTAATTACAGGGCCAATCCACATGAAAAAAAAACTTGGCACAAAGTTCAATGTCTGTCACCATAAATCAACAAAAGAAAAAATATGTTTTAAAATAACAAACAATAAAATAAAACTGAGTTATATAGGACCCTGACCTCCATTTAAATACATACAATCAAATTCTATAGGGAACACAACCTATAATGTCTATACTGTGTATATTGTGTTTGTTTGTTGCTTTGAAATATTTCTATTATTTTAAAAGATATTATGTAATACAAATATGGGCTAACTGAAGGTCATTTTCTCAAGTGCTGCGTAATTATCAAATATAATTTTTACAGTAAAGCTTTCGTGAATAGTGGGGTTAGTGGGATTATGACTTGACTGGGTATTTGTCATTTGAACAGTTCAACAAACCAAATCATATCTAGATTACATATTTTCCACATAGAATTTCTTAAATATTTACAGAAAAGGTAAAAAATGCACAATGTTAGTAAAATGTATTAACAAAAGGTTATATGGATTTTAGTCCAGAACGTGAATTTTACAGATCAATAACATAAGTGCAGTGCTATGGTGCATTTTAGTCAACAAAGTCAATAAATTCTGCCGTGAACACATGAGGTCGGGTTGGCACACAGCGGTTACATCATCCAGTGGCTTATGGGTAATGGCTGTCATCCAGGAAAATGGTATAGATTCTCAGAAATGACATGACCAAGGGCCATAACCTTGAAATGAGCATGTGGCCTTTCACGACGATGCTCTTTTATAACGCTGTGTCCTCTCCTCTGCTTCGCGCACATCCTTCTCTTCTAATTACTTCTGCTCCTCCTCAGAACCCTTCTCATCTCTCTGTAACTGCTGACAACGTTGACTTAACCAATGACCATCTTTCATCTCACACAAGCGGCTTGGTTTAATAAAGGCTTAGATTGGGCCCAGGTACCTGTCTGATCTAGCTAGACCTGTTAAAAAATGCTTTGGTTAAGCTAGGCCTGTCACGATAATTACTATATCGACTTATCGTTCAGTACACGAAAGCTGGAACAATATTTTTTGGGGACTCAAAATATATCATGTGTACAATTTATTTGCAATAGTAGAGAGCAAAATATCGTGCTTCAGAATTTCTTACTGTGACAGGTGAAGTTTAAGTGTTACTATGGGTGATGTTTGGTTGTACATTCTATATACACCACTTTTCCTTGGGTTTAAAAGGCTGATAATTTATGAGTTTCCATCGTTAGGGTCCACTGCAACTTTCCCCTGGGATACCCCCCCCCCCCACACACACACACACACACAAATGCTCCCATGAGACTCTTGGCAATTAGGATTCAATTGGTCTCCCTTTAGCGTTTCATAATCTGAACATGAGTGTAAAGTGACACCGACAGTACTCTTTAATCACACAGCGCTAATGGCTATAAATAAATTAAGTCAATTAAGTCAAAGCTCAACTGTTCTAAAACATTTTTCAGGTTACCTTAATGAACCAAAAGGTAAATTCAGTTTCACTATGCAAGCAAAACACTCAAGAATACTGAAAACTGGTCTAAAAATACCTGGAGCTGTGTAGTGTTTTGTTTCATTCCCATATGTTTAACTCACAATCCTACAAATTTAGACTGAGTTCTTAGCCAGGCTGGCGCCACCTAGTGCCTCCACTCAATTTCATTTCTCTCCAGTGAATAGGTCAGGAATCAGAATACACTAGACGGTTTGCAAGATTGCAAGAGGATTTAAAGCTGGAACAAAGGGAATGTTTGATAATCAAAAGGAAAGAGACTATTGCCTTTCTTCCTATGGGAGCTGGGAAAAGTTTAATATACAAGTTAGCTCCGTTAGTGGCGCATTACATACGATACGACCAAATAGCAGCAATTGGTTAAATAAAAAAAGTACCTGCAAGCGAACGAATCCTAATGCTGCAAGGTCAGATGTTTCCGCGAAATGAAACCGATTGATGAATCAGGCTACTGGGTTCTTTCCTCGAAAAGAAAACACTCTTTTCTTTCCTCTTTCTTCCACTTTGTAATGTCTTGTTATAATACAGGAAGTGCTCCACTGCGTTTTTAAACTCCATATACCTTAACTAGAATAATTTGGATAATTTCAGCTCTGGAATTGCTGATCTCTACTGAACTTAAGGTTGACTTGAAAACTACAGCTTTGTGACATCACAAGAGGAATAGAG